TGTATAAACTACTGACAATGACAAAAACACAAATTACTCAAATTAAAAAGAAAACAGAAGATTATATACAAAAATCTGTTTAAATAAAAACTGTAATACTATCAAAATGATACTAAAATAACACTGTGAAGTATTCCCGAGAACCTTCTAACAAAAAGCTCTGGAAACATCCAGCAAACAGTTTCTCTTACTATACTATTACTATATAGGTTATACTCATACAGTATAACCTTCTTAATACCCATCTGCCGAAAATCTGCAGAAATGATCTCTCCCTCCCGTCTCTCTACTCTGTGGGGTTGACATGTTGTTTTGTTCGGCTTGCACATTGCATACAATTCTGATGCAACCCACTGTAAACGCTCAAATTCTTTCACTCTGTGCATGCGTGCGTGTGTGTGTGTGTCTGCGTCTGTTGTCTTGTTGTGTGTCGTGTGCCTCTCTGTCTGTTTCCAGAACTCACACTGCACTGACAAGCAGCAGATCACTAAGTGAAACAAAACACTGTTTAATAATTCAGACAACCCCCTCCCTCTCTCTGGCTCTCTCTCTCTCTCACACACACACACACACACACACACACACACACACAAATCCCTTTAAGTCTCCATGCGTTTGGATCTCTCTGACGGGAGGCTGCTCTTTTTGTCTCGTCTTGTCTTTTATCCGCTCACACACTCTCAGATGAAACCAGAAACGGGGCAGAAGAGCTATTGGGAGTGTGTGTGTCCATCTACAGTCTGTTCTTCCCTCAATTTTAGATACCAGGTCATTGAATTCCAGTTTAAAGCTTCTCCGAGAATCCCAACATGGGCTTTTTTTTTGCCTAATAGGCTCCTATTTGAACGTAATCATCATTTGGCTTGACATGGATCCCTATAATCTAGATCCGAATGTCCAGCTTCCCGTTACGAGGAAGATGAAGGCATTTTTCCTCCAGTAGCTCTACACAGGATTGCAGTTTTCCTCTCAATGCGCTGATTGTTTTCCGAAATATAATTGCTGTTATCATATGACTCTGCACATGCATAATACGAGCGCTATGAAATATTCATGAGCGTATAGTGTGCGCCGGCCAAAGCTGCACGGGGTACTCTGGGGGATGCTGGGTAATGGGGCAGAGGAGCGTAATCAGGTTGCATTACACAACCAGGTTTCATGTTGCGACCGCAGATGATATCAAAGGGAAGGAGGTGAAGTGTGTCTCGTCGGACAGGTGGAGCTGTCAGGTGTGTGTTTGATTAATGAAGGGCTGGAGGTGTTTAAGCATTCGTATTGAGCATGCACCGTTGTTTTTGCTTTTGGTCCACATAAAATTTCCCACAATTCCATAGGACCAATCAGCACGACTTTTTTCCTCGCTCAACTTTTCGCTCAAAACTAGCTGAGACTAACCTCGACATCTGTCCAAACATGTCTGAAATTATTTAAAACAACAAACCCTGCCGTACTTTTTATTATTCGAGCAACAACGGTCGTTGTTTTGAACCAGGGCAAATTCATTATAGGGTTTCTTCTCACTTTCCCCCTCTGCCTACATTTGTTATCCTTGTAATCACTTTTGCCAAAACATTCACCCTTTTAATTAAATTCATAAGTCGACACAGCTTTATCTCTCTCAGCGGTCGGGTCGGAAACCAGATTACTCTGCTGTCACAGATTTCTCTTGCTCTTTTCCGGACACTGAATAAAAAAGTTTTTAAAATCGTTAAGGCACTTAAAGACTTGAAATTGCGTGAAAACAAACTACAAAGGGAGAAAAGATGTGAGAGATGTGGCCAAAGGATAGATTTTTAGTCTGTTAATTTTGTTAGGTTTATAATAAATGTAGTTATATAGTTTTAATAATTAAAAATAAGTGATTTTTCTAATTCATTTTCAGTTATTTTCAAATGTCTTGAAACATGAATAGTAATTTAAAGAAAAAATATATAGTTATAGTAATATAGTAAGTATTTTATATAAATGATGTAGAATAATATATTTTTTAATGGAAGAAAGGAAATATTTTTGGTCTACAAATTTAACTTTTTAGTATTTTTGATAACTGAAAAATGTGTGTTTTTCATTATTTTTAGTGATTTTCAAATGTCTGAAACATGAGTAATTAATAATAGTAAGAATTAAATTAAATGAAATATATAATGTAATATAATATAATATAATATAATATATGCTGTATGTGGTTTATAATGGTTTATAATAACTTTAGTCTTTAGTTACAGAAGTTATTTTCATTATTTTCTTGAAAACATGTCTTGAAACATGAATAATATAATTATAAAAATATGTATTTATATTTTTTAAATGGAAGAAAGGGAATATTTTTGGTCTGCCAATTTTGTTTGGTTTATAACAGTTAAAAAATAGAGTAATTTTCATTATTTTCAAATGTCTTGAACATTAATTAATTAATAATAACAATTATAATATAACAATGTACTGTATGTACTTGAAACATGAATATTATATATATATATATATATATACAGTATATAATTACGTAGAATGGTATATTTTTATCATTTTAAAAAATATTTAAATGTACATCATTTTGATGTTTTTATAATAATGTTTGTTATTTTTGTGACATAAATCTCATTCTCATTGGCTGTGAGGCTCTAGCTATAGCAACAAAACTTCTCCTGCCAACATTTCAGAAAATTAGTCTTAAAACAATTACGTTCATATCAAAGACCCTATATTTTCTCTTCATCTTGTGCAGCCCAAGAACTTTTTCTCTAAACAGTCGAGGTAGGCCTGCTGATAAAATGTGTTTGCACAGAGAGCGGCTCTATCAACAGCAGGTTGTTTCAAAGCAGCTAAAAGAAACAAAAAAGCAACTATTTATCAAATCCGTCAGCGTTTAATTGAATGTGAACCAGTGGACAGGAACAGTCAGTCTTTTCATTGAGCTGTCGGGACATGATGAATGGAGCGAAACGTGGAAATGCCCATCTCTCCCATGTCATTCATCAGCTCCGGCGTCACGCACACGCCAGCCGCACACGCAGATAAGGAAAGTTTATGAAGAGAATTAGTTCTGAATATGCTTCTAATGAGGTCATTATTTATTTTCAGCTGAACAGTGAAAAAAATAGATTGTTTTTAACCGATCCCCCCCCGTTCCTAATGTTGTTCCATATGGAGTGCTGTAAGTGGATATGCTGAAAATAAAATGAAAAATGGCTTCACTTAGTCTACTCTGAGCTTAAGTGTGAGTAAATGTTGTTTATTGTGCTTTAATAGATATGTCTTCATCTGGATCAGTTCGATGCCGTAAAACTGTCTCTCCCTCTCGGTGCAGATTGAGAACCTGCAGGAGCAGCTGAAGGATAAGGAGAAGCAGATGACCAGCCTGAAGGAGCGCGTCAAATCCCTGCAGGCCGACACTTCAAACACGGACACGGCCCTCACCACGCTGGAGGAGGCCCTGTCTGAGAAGGTGGACACCCACGAACACATACACACATTCGTGTACAGCCACCGAAATTCATCAATGTCCTGTTGTTACGTGTTAAGTTCACTAATTGTCTGTTTTAGGGTTGTCACAGTAGCAACATTTTCATTGGTATGACTCTCACCCATGGAGTGTTCAAAGCGGCCGTTTGTCAGTTATACACTAGCAAATTGAATTGACGTTACACAGATATTATTGCTATTGTTATTCATTCATTTTTTATTAATCATTAATTTTAGTATTTACTGGAACTGAAGTACTGTATTTGTGTCATTCATACTCTGTTTATAGCATTGCAGCTAGTGGAAGGGCTAACCAAAAATGCTGACATTTGAATCTTGAACAGTAAATAATAACAACAACTATTATTATTATTATTATTATTATTATTATTAACCACACCAATTAATAACCACATTTAATATGAATGTGCGACTTAATGTTATTAGTAAACATTATATAAATATATCCAGGTTTTATATTATTATTGTTATTATTATTAACACCAATTAATAACCATATGTAATATGCATGTATGACCTAATGCTATTAGTAAACATTACATAAATATATCCAAGATCATCATCATCATCCTCATCATTATTATTATTATTATTATTATTATTAACCACACCAATTAATAACCACATTTAATATGAATGTGCGACCTAATGTTATTAGCAGTGTTGGGGAAAGTTACTTTTAAAAGTAATGCAGTAACTCAGATATTTTCTTGTAAATTAAAAAAGTAATGCGTTACTTTACTAGTTACTTGAAAAAAGTAATCTGATTATGTAATGCGTTACCCCCAACACTGGTTATTAGTAAACATTATATAAATATATCCAGGTTTTATATTATTATTATTATTATTATTATTATTATTGACACCAATTAATAACCATATATAATATGCATGTATGACCTAATGCTATTAGTAAACATTACATAAATATATCCAAGATCATCATCATCATCATCCTCATCATCGTCATTATTATTATTATTATTATTATTATCATCAATAGTGATATTAATAACTAAACTGTTGATGTGGTAGCGTGTTTTCTCCTTCAGAGACATGATTTCACAGGTGACGTGAACTGCAGTTGCAGAACAGCAGAAGCTGTGAGTGTGTGTGTGTGTGTGTGACAGCGGTGAAGATTGCTCTGTCACACACCCTTATGTAAGGACTCAGTCATTCTCACACTACGATTGACCTCCCAGCAAGCGCACGGATCCACAGGTCAATCCCCGTCACTTCTCATCAACTCACATCACATGTGTGATTGTCTTCGCCAACACCTTCAACTAGTTCACCGAACATTTCAGGTCACGGGCTTCCAGAATGACGCAGTTCTCCGAATCAACAAAACCCTCCCCACCTGCCCCCTGATCTCCAGCTCATGAATATGAATGAATTAACCCCAGCGGATATTAGCATTGTCTTACGTGCCTGCAGTTTGGCGGTGATCTGCTGTTCTGCGTTTCCCCCCTTCATCTCGCTCACATACCCTCACGCGCCGAGGTTTGGGCCTCCTGTTCCTCCCAGCCGCGGGGCGGAAATTTACTTTGTCAGCCATCTGCATATTGAAAAAGAGAGCTCTGGCTCTTTTAGCGGACACACATACTCAAACGCTGGCGGACACGTATGCACTTTTGCAGCACGTTCCCTCACACAGACATTTACAGAGCGTATCTGTCTTTCCCTACTTAAACACATGCAGTTATCCATTTCACATGCCTCGGATGCCGTTCGATGCATGTCGTGAACCAAGAGTTAGCTAGCATGGCGATGAGCGGTCATGCTTAATGTCACAGCTCAGCGAGGATCGGCCAGGAACGTCGACTCGGGAGAGTGAAATACAGCCCTTGCGGTGAGAAATGCAGTGCAGGCCTGAAAAAGAGCAGTGTTATTATTGTCCGGTTCGGCCGCTCGGTGTGTGAGTTTTGGCCGGCGTGGGTGTGAAAGTGCTGGAGGCTGATGCTCTCCATGATTCCAGCCATCCTCTTTCACAGGCCATCGACTGCGAATGCGAGGCTGCGCCAAAACGCTCTTTCCTCAGACCCCTTATTGTCTCACGTTATTGCTCTGTGTGTCTCTTTTTCCTCTCGGAATTATTAAAGGTGCTTTTTTTGCAACCTTATTAAAGTGTGCATGCAGTAAGGCATAGTAGCCGTTCACTTCAGATCTGACTAATTTCTACTAAAGTTACTTCCATTTTCTGAAAGCAGACGCGGGCAAATCTTCCAACACCTGGCCAAAGTTGACACATGTATGAGATTAATGGATCGTACGGCAAATGTGTTCATTCAGATATGTTCCACTAGCCGTGCAGAGTTACGCTTAAGATGGGAATTAAGGAATTGGTGTGCCTGCGCTTTCTAAACTTTGACAGGTGTTGGCCTGCTCTTATTTTTGGGTAAATATTTCAACCCTTACATAAATTGGAACCCAGATAACCACAAACTTCATTTCCTTTTTGTACTATTGTATTGTTCAACCTTCCATGATACAAATATCCAACAATGTAAGCTTAAAGCTTAAAGGTGCAGTTCACTCATTATTTATTTATTTAGTATTAAATATATTAGATAATATTTATTATTATTATTATTATTATTATTATTATTAGTATTATTATTATTATTAATAATAATAATAATATTAATAATGATAACAATCGCTTATTGCACTAGATTAAATTTTCTTTAAAGTATATACCATTTTAATATTAATTATGCTTTTTAAGAGCAACAGTGACAATAATAATAATAATAATAATAATGACTACTCTAGATTCTTTTTCTTTATTATTATTATTATTAGTAGTAATAATAACATTTAATTTTATACCAATACTATTATTATTAACTCACTCATATTATTATTTTCTCACCTTCATGTCATTCCAAACCTGTATGGTGGTGTTTATCCAATGGAACACAAAAGGTGATTTTTTGACAGTGTTGGGGAAGCTACTCTGAAACTGTAGCTTGATCAGCTACAAGCTACATGTAAATTAAAGTAGTTAAGCTACATTCAAGCTACCCTTCTGAAAAAGTAGCTAGCTACACTACAAGTTACTACCAAAAAGTAGCTAGCTACATCGAAACTACTTTCAATCTACAGTCAAGCTACCCTTCTGAAAAAGTAGCTAGCTACACTACAAGTTACTACCAAAAAGTAGCTAGCTACATCGAAACTACTTTCAATTTTTTATTATTATTTTAATGTTTTTTTTTTTTAACATTTAACATTACAAATAACTGAATAATTGTTAATAAAGAAGTAAAAATACGATATTTGGGGTTTAAAACATGCAATCATGATTTCAAAGAGTAGGGTGAATTCAGGTTGATTGTGACACATTTTCCAAGTCATTTCAATTACAAAAAGTGTCCCAGTCGTTTCATTTTGTAAACTATCCGATGCACACAATAATAAAATATAGTTAGTTTATATAGTTACATTATCTCAAACTGACTGTCAAAGTGCAAAATTGCTACAAACGTAACATCAATGCAAGAACAAAATGTATGCAACTTAAACTGGATACGGAGGAGTCGTAAAATAAGCAGGTTAAACTCACAACACATGCAGTATTTACTGACTGTGAATGGAGCCGCTCTGAGACGTCAATCATCAGCTGCAGGCGTGAATACTGTGCTTTGCGTGGAATCCCACTGCAACCATCCTTTGCCAAATGATAAGCACACTACTACATCGCGATTTTATTTTCTGTTCAATTGGTGTTCATTACAAAACTGTGGGGGGACAGATTATATTATGATGGTTCATCATTGCAAAATAGGCATTTGATAGAGTGCAATAAAGCACGAAAATTAATCCGTTTAAAAAGGCTATTATTCACCCTCCCGTATGTGCATTAAGTCTTCGGTGTAGACCGCATTTTAATCTTTGATTTGCATAAATTACAGTTGATTCATGTGAAATATCCACTGCTGTACATCCTCTGCAAAATCATCGATCTCTTGTCAGTGGACAGACTGTAAAGCCATGAGATGCGTGATGTCACAACAGATGGCGGTAATGAACAAATTTAATTTGTGATCTAGTCAGAAGATGCTGCGCTGCTTCAATGCATTAAACACAAAACAGAATGTAGCATCTGGTCGCGCTACACCGCTACTTGCTGGAAAAAGTAGTTAGCTACTGGAAAAAGCTACACTGTTTTAAAAGTAGCGGAGCTACTGTCACGCTACTGAAAAATGTAGTTATGTTAGTAGCGCCTCAAGACTGATATTTGAAGATCTTCACGCAGCTGTTTTCCATATATCAATGGTTCATAGTTACCACGACCTTTAAATGACACCAAAAAGCACCATAAAAGTAGCCTATATGACATGTACGCTTCATTCCATTCCATCTAAAACCATATGATAGCTCTGTGTGAGGAACTGGGTGAAATGGAAGTGAAATGTAATTATGCACTGATGGTCTTGCATCAACTGTCGTACTAGCTTACCTGCTCAAAATTCTTCAAAATGTCTAATTTTGTGTTCCAGAGAAGAAAGTCAGAGGGGTTTGTAACAACATACCTGTATAAGAGTGAGTAATTTTTTCTCCCTGCTTCGAAATCACACTTTCAACATGTCCTTTCTTGTTTGTGATGTTTGTAGGAGCGTATTATCGAGCGTCTGAAGGAACAGAGGGATAGAGACGAGAGAGAGAAGAGCGAAGAACTGGAGAGCAACAAGAAAGAGCTCAAAGAGCTGAAAGAGAAAGTCAGCTTACTGCAGGGAGAGCTGTCCGATCGCGAGGTGAGAACTTGATTTTGCATAAAGTAATGAACAAACTAATGCTTTATTAAAGCCAGTATTGCATGAAGTTGATGATTTTCACAATCTACAGTGTTTTTGTAATGATTTTGACCTTGTAGTGAAAAAAAAGACAGATTTATGTTGTAGGAGTGAGTCAAACCATATCTAGAGACCAAAATCTTGTGTACAGCATCATTTACAGTGTTGATGACCATTACAGGAATAGTTGTGCCAAAATGAGAATTTGCTGAAATTTACTCACCCTCAGGCCATCCATGATGTAGATGAGTTGTTTCTTCATCTGAAAAAATTTAGTGAAATTTATCATTACATCACTTGCTCACCAATGGATCCTCTGCAGTGAATGGGTGCCGTCAGAATGAGAGTCCAAACAGCTGATAAAAACATCACAATAATCCACAAGTAATCCACATGAATCCAGAAACAGGCTGAAGTTAAACCATTTTAATGATGGATTTGTTTCTTACAAACACACAGCTTTTTGCTTGACAAGACATTAATTGATGGACTAAAGTCGTGTGGATTACTTTTGGGTTATTGTTATGTTTTTATTAGCTGTTTGGACTCTCATTCTGACGGCACCCATTCACTGCAGAGGATGTTACATTTCTCCAAATCTGTTCAGCTGAAGAAACAAACTCTCTATATTGAATGTTCTGAGGGTGAGTACATTTTAAGCAAATTTTCATTTTTGTGTGAACGATTCCTTTAAACCGCTATATCATCTTGCAAGTATACGCTCAGATTTGTGTAATCTGTTTGCATATTTGTGAACAGAAGTTTGGGTTTGCGGTGTAAATATTGCAGTCATGAATTGTGGCCTGTACACCCAACTAAAATCCACAACTAATCCTAACACTCCTAAACTAAATCTCTGCTATCAGGAGAACTGTAATTAAATGCTAAACTATTATGTTATGAATCAGCTTGATGTTTCTGTGAAAATCTTTGCACATATTTGCAAAAGGTTAGCCTGGATTGTTTCTGTATGATTGTATGATTATATCTTGCATTTGTGAAAGCAAGTCAAGTTACAGGTTTTTGTACTGCACAAACAGACGTTCAGCTGACCAACAAATAGCTCAGAGGTGGGCGTCCAGCCGACATCTTGTGCAATTTTGCATTCATATTGTTAGTTCAGATAGCGGTTTCACATTTATAATGCAGTAATCCTCTATAATGTGTCAGGTGTGGATTAAAGAGGTTGAAGCGGATCCCAGGCAGCATTAGAAGCGTCTTCCTTAGATTGCACTATTGGACGAGGTGCTCAGGCTTGATAGAGACCGACTGATTTCGCAGCCGTCCACACAACCCCAGAGGAGCTGTAGTGATGAGAACAGACATGCTGGACCCGCAACACTGTCAGTCCTGCGTGTGTGTGTGTGTGTGTGTGTGTGTGTGTGTGTGTGTGTGTGTGTGTAGGACAAGAAGATAAATGGCGGAT